ATATAAATTTAATACATAAAAAGGGGAATTCAAACTTAAGCGCAAGGGGTCGAGCTCACTCCCGTGACCAACTCCCTTGACCAACTCACGGAAACAATTTAATAAAAAAGATGAACTGATATTAGAAGTCTAAAACACTTAATTACCTCAACCAACAATTTCTCCAGCAAGGGACATGCATTTAAGAAGCAAGCAAGGGAGTCTCTTTTGTCCTTGTCGATCAAGGAGTCGATCCAAGTTAATGCTTTTAACTTGTTGAATTGGAAATCAAGCCTCCCAAAAATCACTCCTGCTGAACACAGCCACTTCAACAATATAGCAACCAAATTCAGTCTCAGAAGTTGGAAATATATAAGGATTTACATGTGTTTTATAATTTCATATATACCTCAAGAAGCCAGCCACTTATAGTGAGAGCCTCAACATCCTTGAAAGAGAAAAGGATGGAGAGAATTTCCTCACAGTCAAACTCATTGCTGATTGGTCCATCCTTCAAATTGAGCACCACATCAATCAAGCTTCTTGTGTTTTTTAGGGTGATAATCTGGGGAAGAGCACCATGGAACCAAAATGATTTGATATTTTGTGCAGAAATTGTAATGGCAGCCATGTTTGAACAGTCTGCCACCACCAAGCTCCTCAGGCTATCTGTTTTCACATCAAGGCTTTCCAGTCCCCTGCATTTCTCAAGCTTCAAGCTTTCAAGGACATGGCAATTGGAGAAAACTTCAGACACCAGGGTTTTGGTGAGGTTGGTGACTGATCTGAGGTGGAGAAGCTTCACCCCAGAAAAACTCTCTGTTTGTGTAGGATGATGGCTGTGAAGGCACAAACAAGCACTGGTTGATGTTGGCTCTGATTTGAAATCTCTTGAAACTTTCTTTGTTTCAAATAATTCCAGATGAAGCTCTCTGTCAACCCCCTTGGTGGCTTTGAGAATCAGTGCTTCATTGCTGTCAACAACATTGAGGCACAGCTTCCATTGCTCAAGACAAGCATAAGACCTCATGCACATTCCCATAACTTGGTTGAATTCTTGAACTGAGCCTTCATGGTTTATTGGGTTTGGATCAAAATTCAAGCTTACTTGAATTGGAGACCAGAGGCTCTTCCAATGAGTTGAAAGGACACTTGCTCTTACTGCCTCTTTCAATGGCAGGAAGGATATAATTCTCTGTTGTAATTCAAATGGTAAGCTGCTGATCAGATCAAGCTTTTCCTCCTCCATTAGTTTCTGATATTTTCCCTGCTAAAACCCAATTGTTAGACCCAAAATACAAATTCACAAACCAACCTCTAAATCCTAAAACAATTGTTGGGTTAAGCTCAGAAACAAGAAATCATCAGAAGAACATAAAACTAAGGCTTCAATTGCTTCGAAACGTACCAGAGCTAGTGTGGATGTGGAGCTGAGATTGTCAGTTGCCAGCGAGTGCAAGATCATCTGCAATCGAGTTGATTCTGTCTCGGTACTCTGAAATGGACAAGTCTGTGCGAATGAGTTCATTGCGCAGATGAAGGATGCGGTTGTGAGAGGTGGAGGCATAGTGATGTTCCAGAGATACTCAAGATTGACGAGATGTGGGAGACAACGCCACAGTAGACAACACAGACGGAGTGAGTGAGTTGTTTATCCAACTCAATATTGTCTGATCTTGCTGGACCCAATATAGATAAGAAGGATTGACGACATTTTCGGCAGCACCAGGAAGAGACGTAAGAGGACAGAGGATTGTGCCATCAACGTAGCCAAAAAGATCACTGACTACGAAGAATATGAGAAATTTGAGGCAACCACAGTGGACATTTGTTTCAGGTCAATTGTGAGCGGAGGAATTTGGTCATTGGTAGGAAGGGCAGAGCTATTAGAGTTGGCCATGGGAAACCTGGGTAAAAAAACATCGTCAGATTATAGAAGCTCTTGATACCATAAAAGACTTAGGAAATTGGAGAAAAGGCTGCACCAGTAACTCTTACCAAATCCACAACTGATTTATCAATGTCAATTTGCTCTTAACTTGGACTTGGTCTGACACATGGACCCTGCAATGCAACAAGTGGTGCTTGAAGGCTTCAAGGTGACATCAATAATAATCGTTCCATTTAATTTAAACCGACTTGTTTGATACACGTTGATATTGATATGGACCGCCTACGAGGCTATGACCCTGACCTTTATATAAACATTTCTTTGCCCTTAATGCAGAAAGCTGACATCGAACAAATAATTTGAATAAAAGAGATTGTTACAAGAGATTTTCTTTGCCCATGAAGTTGAATTTCATTATTTAAACAAAAGTAAATGATATGAATGAATCAAACATGTCTGCTAGATTATTATATAACGTTGATTTGATTGGACTTATAATTAAAAATTATCAAGATTGTTGTTGTTTATTTTTTGTCAATCTTTTGCAAATGGATATTATTTTGAGATTTTCTATTTAAACCCCGCACTTCTTTTTGTTTACCCCAATACTTAAATCATTAAGCTGTAAGTTTTATTATTGTGTAAAAAGACATAAAAGTTCATCCAACTTAATACTTAACCCTACCTAATACATCTATATACACACCCCACACACCCCACCACTCTTCATATTAAGTTTTAGAAGGACCTATGCAAGAAGCACAAGTTGCCTAACAAGAGTTTGTCCTTTTGGGATGCCAATGTAACCACTATCGGGCTTCTAAGGTCTGCTGCCCGGAAGGCTTGGGACATGGATCTTCCAATCCCGAAGAACTTGGC